ATTATTTATTTTTATTTTAACATTTGGGAAAAATTAGAGGATTTTGTGGCTGGATGTATTCCACAAGTCCTGCATTTATTTTTTACTTTCTTTGGATACATTGACTTCTGTCTTTCCTTCCAGCTTATGTTAAGTCTACCTTGGAAACAGTCAGATCTTTAATGTATGTCTTCTGTGAGACCTTTTTCTAGTAGCTTCATGTTCTGGAGCTAACAGCTGTCTTGATTCATCAAATCCTCGTGCCTTTTTAACTCCTTGGGAAGAGAAAGTAGAACTGGAGCTTGTAGTCTTTAACTGGAGAAGTTGTGTCCTGCCCCAGCTGCTGCTTGTGCCTTAGCCCTGCCGTCTGTCCCTATCACCATCATTTGTCATCACACTGCCACAGGTGGGCTTTGCTCTAAACCTGTACTGATTTGCCTTTCCTGTTATCATAATCCTTTTTTTACTTTTTCCTTATTTTACCCGTCTCCCTTTATTTGCTAAATGTCCTTTGATTCTTTTTTCTTTTCACCCCAGTTTTACTCTTTCATAATCTGAGACCTGTGGAACATTATTTCTTTCTTCTTTTAGCACATGGAGAAACTCTCCTGCTGCCTAGGCAGGGATTACAGTAGTTCTGTCTGGAAATTTTAATTCCAGACTACATGGACAAGACCTGAGATGCCTCTGTTGTTATCTGTTCCTCAAAGCTATACATTAAACAAAACATGCATCTGATCAGTTTAACCTGTAATTAGACATTTTCCTTAAGCAACTGACATCTTGATAACTAATAATTATCATGTGTAGCACCTTTAAAGCCTATTATGCATGTTTATGTAAGAACACTATTACCATAATAATAAGATATCATTACCGCAAATGTGCATACTGAATGAGCATGTCTTAAAGTAATCATGCGATTCCATTAATCATACTTGAAAAATTAAAGTATTTGCTGTCTAATCTCTGAAACACTACTCAAAAAATTCTGGAAACAGCAGGACCTGTTTACTACGAGTCTCTAATACATGATATCTCATTTCTGGTGTCTCGGTTTTGTTTCCTGAATTGTGGCTTATCTTTCAGCTGGGGAAATCATTAGCTCTGCGACCCACAGTCTCCCTTTGAAAGCATTTCCATGCTGTGGTTTTTTTATGCTCTTTGCCTTGTTTTTTGCCCAGGGAGTGCTGCCACCTTTTCCTAAGGCTAATGTGAAATGCACTCCTGAAACTCAGTTCTCCTTGAAATTAGATAATTGCCTTAAACAAGATGAACTGATAGCTAATTGTGGTTCTGTTAGTCCCTTGCACAGGGGGAGGAAAAAACCAACCTGTGCAACTACTGTTCGTTTTTCTTTTTAACAGAAGATTGGAAATTTGAGGAGCGGAAGAGACCTCATGACCGGACTGAAAGTTGGGAGGAAACATTTAACCTACTAAGAAATCTGAGTAACTGAAAAGAGACTTTTTTCGTGCAGTTTACATCCAGTTTGATTAAATACCTGGTGTGGCTAAGAGCTAAAAAAAATAGTAAAATAATCTTCTAGGTTTTTTAATGATGTGAAGATTCCTGTTGTGACTGGCTTAATATGATCTTTGGGGCATCAGTGGTGCAAAGAGAAAGGAGGTTCCCCAGGTCTGCATGGAGTCCACATTCCATCTTGTTTCCCAAAACATGCTTGTTGGTGGCTCATGGACCCTGTCCTTGTGCGTGGTGGTGGCCATCACACTGCTCCATGGGACCACTCTTTGTGAGGGCTAAAGGCAGGCAGTTGTAGAAGTTAAGAGAATAGATAGATTGTTGGCCTTTTGAAGGCATTTACTCATCCAAGCAGAGCATCCATTTGTGCTGTTACTGTTAGATGGGAAGAACAGGCTGTTTAATCACTGGCTTTTTTTTCCTGCAATCCTTTGTAAAGATAAAAGGCATGTCCTCTCTCAGTAGTTCTATCAAAACTTCTGGAGGAAAAGGACTAAATGTGGAACTTTAAGGCACAGTTGTTTTACGAAATCGGTCATTGTCATTATTTTGTAGTGTATTTTGTTTGCTCAGAAGGAATTAAGCCAAGGTTTTCAGGCTAAGTTCTAAACCTTTTACACTTTTAGGTTGTCCGGTAGCGCAGGTGTTTGTAGCTGTCAGGCACAGCCTTCTCATTCATTCTTTTGTAATTCATTGATAAAAATGCATTTGTGTATAGAATGACTAGTCACTTACTGCTTTAGAGAGGCCATTCTTTTATCTGTCAGTAGTACCACATCTGATTTAATAACATAAGCTGCGTTGAGTCAGATTAGTATATTCCTGTGTATTTTCTTCCTTAACACTTGGCATTAAGTAATCTGGAGCATAATGAAGTATTTATTAATGCCACAAAGTACATGGTGCCATACATCTCCTTAATACCCTAAAAGGGTAAATCTATACTAAATACAAGGAAGAATTTTTTTTATGCAGAGAGTGGTGAGACACTGGCCCAGGTTGCCCAAAGAGGTGGTGGATGCCCCATTCCTGGAAACATTCAAGATGAGGCTGGATGCAGCTCTGAGCAACCTGGTCTAGTTGAAGATGTCCCTGCTCATGGCAGGGAGGTTGGACTAAATGGGCTTTAAAGGTCCCTTCCAACCCAAACTAGTCTGTGATTTTAAGGGAGTGATTTCAAAGATTGAGAGTATCTAGCAGAAAAATATACGTGAAATATTAGAACAGCAGAAAAGGGGAAAAAGGCAAAAAATACCTTATAGGAGTGGGAAACAAAGTGACAGACACGTTAGAAGAGATGTGAGGACCAAAAGGACTTGCAAAATCGATTTTCTGTCTATAATGGCATTAGTAAGACAGGGAGGTGAGACTGAAGGAGCTGGAGCTGAAGACGTGTCACCAGAGGCAATTGTTGTGCTTACAGTTAGTTGCTCGTGGCTTTCAATGAAATTATAAAGGAACTACATATAAAATGGGTACAAAACAGTGTTCTCTGTCACGATGCACATTTACTTTTTGGAGCTTGTTGTGTTCTTGTGGACAGTCTGGCAATTGGACAGGATATTACCTTCATGTTACTAACAGCTCTGACAGGGGAAAGGGGCACGTGTATAGTAAGAATGAAGGAAAGAGACTCTCAAAACCAAGGCAAAATGCTTTCTGAAAGGAATATAAACTCTCGTGACTCGGGGTATAAACCAGCTTCTCCCAGTGTGCTCAGGAACAGATCCCCCTACAAGCCAGTTACTCTGTTACCACCTCCCTGCAGGGCTTCACCAACCTTTCTGGGAATCACTGGGCTTCTTTCTTTGGCTTTACCTATGGAGCAGGGAGAATGCTTTCCTTGTTCCCAATTAGGTTGGCAATTTCTCAAATCGTCCATAAATCTTCAAGAAAAATTCAGGTTCTTGACCAAAAAAAAAATATGTAGATGTATCACCGAAAAGAAGAAATTAGAATAGTGTTAAGTAAGGAGCTTTTTAAACTTTGGTCCTTGTGTTTATATTGGAGGCTGCTAGGATAATGTCGGGATTTAATTCTTAACTTCACATTTTAAAATCCTAGAAATATAAATTGTTTTCTGTTGCTTTGGTTATTTCTGGGGAACACTTGTTCCTTAGTTTTCTACTATATGGGCTGAACTAAGGAATTTTAATATATTTTATTCCAACTTCAGCTTTTAAATGTTGCTCTATCTCTGTAAAACGTGTAAGAAGCTGCATTGAATTTCCTTTCCCCCACTTTTAAATACAATTCCTTTAGGAGCAGGGGAAAAAAAAAAAAGCGTCTGTGTTATACTGAGTAATTATGCCCCCTGGGAAAGAGAATATAAAGATCTTTAAAATCATTCAAGTGAGAGAACAAGCACTTTAACTTTTGCCTCGCAGGAGTCATGTATTACATTATCAGCCCCGTGCTCCCGTGTCAGTGTGTCGTGCCTCGCAGGTTAGCGGCTTTGGCAGAGGAAATGAAACCCAGTCAGTTACTGCAGGATTTATAGTAGACCTGCTGTTGCAGGAAGCGGTGAAAAGTTGATTGATAGTCCGAAGCGAAACTCTACAACAAGAAACAGGATGTATGTTTGTTTTTTTTTTTTTATACCCGTTTTCCCCTCTGCCCGCCCCCCACTCTCCCCCTTCTATTTCAAGGCACTCTTTTTGTTGGCTCTGTTTATAAATCCATGATGCACTTTTCTGGTAAAGTGTGTGCAGGCTTCAAAACTCTTGAAGAAATGGATATGGCCATACCAAATATTTGAAGCTGACGTTGTGTGCCTGCTTAATTAGAGGTGTTCTAAATGTTACACTGTCTCTATGAAATGTGTAAGAAGCTGCATTGACTTTCCTTTTCCTCACTTTTAAATACAAGTCCTTTAAGAGAAAAAAAAATATGGAAGAGTCTGTGGTAATAACACATGTAATTGAATTAATTGAAGCATCTAAAAGGTCCTGCTATTTTTGTTGAGTTGTATTTCAGTGGAGTTACAAGTCATAGAGTCATAGAATGGTTAGAGTTGGAAGGGACCTCAAAGATCATTGAGTTCCAACCCCCCGAGAGGTAAAGTATATCTAGAGACATCTCCTATCATGGGTGCATAAAGCTGTGAGAGAAGGAGAATATATCACTGAGGTGGACCTGATCAGCTCTGCTCTATCGGTTCATCTGCATTTAATAGCTATATCAGGAAGGGTAGTAAAACAAAATGATTCTGCTGCATGTGAGCTTAATCCAGCAAGATACATACTGCAGAACTCACTGCTGACACACCAGAAAAGCACTATCTTTTCTGCAAGTGTCACCGAAGACTTTCAGTGGGATATTGTCTAGCCTTGAGGGGAAAAGTTATCCAAAATAATAATAATAACAAACAATTTTGATTGGTTTTTTTTCCTGCAGCATCTACTTTTACAATCATCGGAGAAGAAAGTTGTTTGCAAACTGGGCAAATAGTACAGCTGTTTAAGATTTTTGGATTCTTGTTATCAAACGGGCAAGTTCTGTTTGTAAAGTTAAGTAACATATCTTGTTCTCTGTCAAAGGTCAAAAAAGTTGGCTGCACTCTCTGAATCCTTGCAGAAAAGCAGGCTCACCAAGTCCCACGTCGGATTTGAGCTGGAAGAGCTGGAGGCAGCAGCGGCGCTGGTACAGGAGGAAGAGCGCGCGTTAGAAGCTGCTGGCACAGTTTCCAAGCAACAGCTGCCTTCCTCCGAGTCAGAGACAAGTGAGTCTGAAGAATCCAGCAGTACTTCATCATCTGAGACAGAAGGCTCTGATTCAGAGGAGCGAGAGTCCTCCACCAGTGAAGATGGGAAAATAAATTCTTTCCGAGGCACGCTTCAAGAGGAGAGGACAGCTCCACTTATTGCCTGTAATGGATTAAGGCAGGGCACCAACGCTTCCACGTTTGAGGTTAGTGCTGAAAAACCAAAGGTTTCTTTGCAATCTACGGCTGTTCCTGGAAAATTGATAGAAGAATTAGAAAAGCAAATGCACACTGCAATTAGACTTTCAGAACAGCCTGAAGGATTGGCGACTGCGAGCTGCATTTCACAGGAACCAGAAGAAAACCCCGTATCTGAGCCCGATGGATTTTCAAAAGATACAGCTGGGAAAGGAAATTTCTTGGAGGTGTCTTCAAAGACAAACCCACTGCTTTTATTTTGCAGCACAAATGAAGATGAAGACTAAAGGACCGTGTTAGAACACGGTGTGACCCACCAGCAACGCAGCTCGTTGCAGTAACGAGTCGTTCCCAAGGCTGTCCTGAGCTCCGGAAAGAACTTGATATTTTTCTTTTTTGTGTTGACATTTTGGAGGGCAGGACTGCTTTGAGAAGAATTGACAGGACTGTATGATGGATACCCTCATAGTTTCATTTTTATTTTTCTTCTCTGATTCAACAGAGTCTCGGATTTGATCTCTGTGTGTGGGAATGTGTAGTTTCAGTAAACTTCTAGAAACATTTTTCATAAAGCTTGTTTGGTAGTAGAACGATGTCCTAATCAAATACAACCGAAATGAGTTGTAGTCTCATTCTAGTTATCTTTAGCTGCTGGGATTTACTTGAAAAATAGCCTCATTATGTTTGTATAAACTTGTTTATGAGAATTTGCTGCATTTTTTTGTAATTCTAAAATGCTTTATAGCTACCCACTTCCAAAATAATGGTTATAACTTTAAAAGTCTAAACAGTGCTGACAAATTAGTTTTAAATATATAAATATTTTCTATTTTTTGTACAAAATAAAGTTCTCAGTGCAAGACAAAAGGCTTATAACTTATATTTCTACAGGATAGAAGGCTTATAGCTTATATTTCTGCAGTTCTTATGTAAGTTATTTCAACAGTTTTGCCATGTATTTATTCTTTTGTGATGTTGCTGAAATGTTTTCACATATGGGCTTTGCTGTTGCTCTTTAAAGGAGAGAAATCCTAATTATTTCTTGTTTCTGTCTGCATATGCTTTTAATATCACCACAGTAATGTTAACCAAGATGAAGAAACAACGTGGTACAGGGGTCTTGAGTGTAGGACTGAAACCAAACCTGTGCTGTCCAGACCTCGCTGTTATTAGTCGTCTCGTAGCTTTGGCCAACTCATTTGTTCCTTTTTGCTTTCATAAGATTAAAATAATCCAAGCAGTCAATGTATTTTGTGCTAATTTCTGTTAACTGTAGGTAGGTTCTTGAACTCCTGCGGCTACTGCAAATTATGTGCTGCTGTTCAGTCCCCACAAAAGGATTTGGGGACAGGGAGCACCAGGTTTGGTTCAACGGGCTGACAAAGCGGGAGCCTCTGGAGGAGTAATCCGTGATTACTTTTCAACCTTTCTACTATTAAAAAGTGTACAAAAATCCTAAGCTTAAAGACTTGCTCTTCACCAATGCTACACCCTGCTGGCAATCAGCAGGCTGGCTCTGTTCCTGGGCTGACTCCTCTTCAGTAAGAACCACAACCCCGATCTGCCAATATTTTTTATGTTCTTAAATACCTACCGGTCGCTTAATCAGTCTCTGTGTTGGGTTCCCCAGGGGAGGAACCTTTCCCATCTTGTCAGTGAGCACTTACTCTTCTAAACGCCAGCAATAAAATCTACGCTGGAGCTGCAATTATGCAGCGTGTGGCTGGGAGAGGGGAAAAAATGTGCTTAAGAAAAAAGAAGTAACCCTCTTCCCACTCTCCCCAAATTACAGGTACAGACTCTGAAGCTTCCTTCATCTCAGCATGGGCTGGAGAAAGCTAAATTAGTATGAGTTAGGAAATACACATTGTGAAAATTGATAGGTATTTGTAATGTCCTATGTCTTTGGCTGTCTTTTTATTTTTTTGCCTTTTTTTTCTTTTCTTTTCTTTCCCTTTTCCCTGCTGAGGACAATGTTCCTCTTTTTTCCAACAGACCTGCTTACCTTCAGTAACTGGCTGCCTTTTCTGGAGCAAGGATAACATCTTTGGTTGATCTTTTTCTTCTTTCCTCTGCATGCCTAAAAATGCCATTTATTTAGGCCATTTGAAAGCCTTTTCCATCATATCTGTTTGAATCCAGTTTGGGTGTAGATGTCGTTAGTGTCCCTACAGTGTGATGCCACGGTAAATGCCAGCTGGGAACATGGAAGGCACACAGATTGTTGACTCCCAGGTAACTTAGGTGTCACCGATGTCCTCACCTTTGAGACCTTGTATAGTTGGGCTCTGTTTCTGCCTCCAGAAACACACTGGTGCTGGCTCATTTCATGTAGGTCTGTGCCATGCTCTCTGCTTCTGCCCTGCTCTTCCTCTGCCCCTGGGAAATGCGCTGGGCTGTACCCTGGGGCCCCTTCCCATCTTTCTTCCCCTTCTTCTCCAGTGTTGATGTTCACCATTGCCTTTTTGCAAAACTCTGTGTTGAGTGTTTGTGGATCTGATGATGAATGTCAATTTCTATATTGATTGGTAGGGATTTTATGTGACCTTTGTCGTGGTGGGAAGTTTTTCAAAGTTTTTCCATATTGGGTGATATTCTCCATCACACCTGCAGTGCTCAGGACGCGCAACATCTGTATGAAAGAGAAGCCTTTGCTTTGCTAAAAAGAACACACAAAGACATTTTTTTTAAAGAAAGTGGAGCTTTGATAACCTTTTTTAGCCAAAACTGAGGCTTGTTGAATCCAGGAAACACAAAAAAGCTGACCCCTCAATCCCATAGGATGCTGTGGGTTCTGAAAGAAGCGAGTGAACTCCAATAAAGAGTCAAATTTCTGTAGAGGAGCTGTTTGAATGAATCCATAGGAATTGCAGGTTTTCCAGGCTGGAAATGGGTTGATACAGGAGGAACTGGGTACGTGTGTACTGTGCTCTGCTGGTTTTAAAATTCTCCTCGTTTCTAGTGCTCCTCCCCACCCCGTCCACCCAAGCCTATTTGTAGCACAGCCAGCGCTTTGTTTTAAGGCATTTGGTGCTCATCATCGTAGTCGGTCCGAAGGGAATAGAATTGCAGTGTCTGGACAAAATTCCTACTGAAAATAAGTTTGAATATGAGCTAAGCTTGAGAGGGGAAGAGCTGTGGGGTTTTGCTGGAGGGAAGGGAAGGTGGGTTGTCTAAGGTGTTACAGAGTGCTCTGGGGGAGAGAGTGAATGGAGTCGGAAATACAGTTTGTTTAGTGTCTTGTTATTAATCAGTTAACTTTATTTTAGAGGTTTGGGCTAAATAGGGCGTTTTGTCCCAGTGTTGTGGCAGTGATGCAGAGCTCCCCTGAAGCCAACAGAGGTGGCTGTGGGAAGGTGGCTCCAGTTAAGGTCCTGGTGCTTCTCCAACCTATCAGACTGTCGTGGGGACAACACCAACCCCTGTTCTTACCCAAACCCAAGCGAGGGCAAGGTCTGCACCTTCACGGAGATGTTTGTGAGCTCTCCTCCCAGAAAAGCTGCTCTCTCTGGGTAAGTGAACAGCAGCAGCCCTGGATCTATGCCTGAAGCCCCAGGGAGTCTCATCTCCCTCCTCACTGCTGCCTGCAGGGCTGTTCCTGCCAAGGGGAGCAGGAGAGGGATCTGCAGGCCCTCCCCTGGCTGAGCTCTTGGTGACATCTGTGCTGTCTTGAGTGTGACAGAGCCCTGGTTAACGAGAACGAAGGCAAATCTAGTGCTCTCAAGCCTTGGCTCTGCTGCTTGGCAGGACGGAGGGGACAACACAGGGTGTCCCTTGCATCCGGGAGCTGGCTCTGAATGAACAGAGATGCCCTTAGGTTGGACAGGGAGACACTTGTTCATGTAGAGCTTTTAAGAATAAGTTGTTAAAAGCAACAAGTGAAATACTGGAAACAATGAGAAGTAGCTCAACAGACTTTTTTTTTTTTTTTTTTTTTTCAATGGGGACAGTGTGACCCCACTTTGCAAAAGTGTTTATTGATTTGTGGCTGATACTCATTCTCGGGATTTCGATTCCTTCGGAAATAGAAGAAATTTAAGTTGATGAGTTTTTCTTGCTGTCTGTTCTGCTGCAGAACTCCAAGTGAATTCTAGGTGGATATTCATACTTCTGTCCTTTGAAGGGCACAGGGGATGGCTTCTCTGGACCAGTGCTCAGCTTCTGGAGGGTCAACTTTTCATTTCTTTCCCCCCAAAAGCAAAACTTAGTTCTGAATTGACTAAATAATATTTTCTCCCGTGGCTTTTCTTAATTCCAACGTGCTTTCTGCAAAGTTGGTAAGAGGCTTTGCTCCCCGATGGAAAAGAAGGAAGCATCGATTATAGAGTTGATTTACTGCAGTAAGTGATAAATATGGCAAAGAAATTGATTCATGGCGCTGGAGCGAAGGGGCCGGGCAACCCTGGGCCGTTGACACAGCTGAATGTTGTCAGAGCCCGAGCCGGCTGTCTCAAGGCTGGAGAAAACAAACAGGGAAACACATGTCAAACAGATAAATAGCTCTGCTGTGCAGGGCTCTCCGCCGAGGCCATTTGTCTCCCAGATAAGGAAGAATGCACTCCAAAGCCGGGAGGAGATAAGCTGGGAGGGCAAAAATGAATGTGGAATTGCTGAGATGCTGCTTGGGCCTTTCCGGGGGGAGCAAACGCTGTGCCCCCACCCCGGGGGTCTCTACAGGGAGCAGCACCTGGGGAAAAGTTCATGAACTTGCAGATTTTTCTTAAATATTTCAGCCACAGCTGATATTTGCACCTTCACAGCATACAGACAAATGGCACTGGTGTCAGCTCTTAGCTGACTCATTTTCAAGTGTTTTCTGAGCCCGTTTCTCTCCTTTCCAGTGGTAAGTGGGCTGCAGCCTGTGGTTATGTGGCCATGTGTGAGGCACCATTTTGGGTTGATACAAGGAACTTGGGTTTGTAGTATTGTGATAGCTGTAATTCACACTATTTTTATATTCTTAGGTTTTGAAGGAGCGAGGGTACCATTTCCACAAACGCTACATTTGGAGACCTGGCTGAGCTCGTACCTGAAGTGCCTTCGGGGATGGTTTGCTTATAAATTCTTAAAGGGTGGGTGTCAGCAAGATGGGGCCAACCTTTTTTCAGTGGTGCCCGGGGACAGGATAAGAGGTAACAGGCACAAACTTGAACTTAGAGAGTTCCATCTAAACATGAGGGAGAATTTCTTTCCTGTGAGGGTGGCAGAGCCCTGGAACAGGCTGCCTGGAGAGGTGGTGGAGTCTCCTTCTCTGGAGACTTTCCAAACCCGAATGATCACGTTCCTGTGGGACCTGCTCTGGGTGGACCTGCTTTGGCAGAGGGTTGTACTGGATGATCTCCAGAGGTCCCTTCCAACCACAAAGCGTTCTGTGGTTCTGTGGGGGGAGAAAGTTCAGCAGCTGGTTTTGTCAGGAGATGGTGGCTGTGTGTCCCTGGCCCCCACCGTGTGAGCTGTGGCTTTCTGTGAAGGACAGGGAGAGCTTCTGCTCCCAGCAAGGGCTTTGTCACTCTCAGTGATGCTTTTCGGCCTGGAGTCAGTGACAGGATGAATGGCAGTAAACGTCGTTCTCTCCAATTATGGATGTGTGAGAGATTTGGGAGTGTAACTCCTAAATGGTAATGAGATGTTTAAGGCATAAATCAACGGCGTATCAAGAGGAGAACAAAACTGCCCTCAGCTGAGCTCCAAATGGCCCAGGTAGTGACCTGCCTGCGGCACCCTACCTGCCAGGGCTGTAATTACTTCTCATCTCCTGGCCGCAATTTTTGGCAATTATGCAGAAATAGCCCATTTCCTGCGGTAAATAAATTGGGATTCGCGTTTTGCCTTGATGTGTGACTCCTCCTCCTCTAATATGCGGCATTGTCCATTGATTTGCCTAATTATGTGTATTGCAACTGCATCAGGCGCTGGGTAGCAGCAGGGGTCCATGCTGGGGAGAGGAGGAGGGCGATTGCTCCATCTGTTCCTCCGAGCTGCTGGGAGAAGCGTCAGGGAGTGAAGTGGGAAACGGAGGGAAGGAATCACCATTTAGTGCAGGTGCCTCTGGAAGGGGGAATCCCACTGCCAGGTGCTGGCAGGCAGCTCTCCTGAGCTCCTCGCGCGCTTAATTACCCTATAGCGAGACTTCCCAGCTCAAATTAGAGCAGGCAATTGCATCTGAAGGCTTGAAACAAAACGGGGAGCGCGGCAGCGCTTAATCTGTTTCGCTGGAGAGACCTGCCTTTCTCATTTGGCAAGAT